GATGTCCGACTGCAGCTTAGGCCTGCTCCCTGCTGGCAAGTGGACATCCCCCGAGGGCTCCCAGGCTGCCAGAGGGATGTCTGGCTCCCAGCTTAGGCCTAATCCCCCAGGGACCGGGCCTAAGCCAGCAGGTGGTCATCCCCCGAGGGGTTCCAGACTGCAAGAGGGCACAGGCTGGGCTATGGGACCCCCCACCCCGAGTGCACAAATTTTTGTGCACCTGGCCTCTAGTATTAGTATATAATATGTGCCTCATTAAATGGTTGTAAAATATGATATGCAATGTCATAGGTTGACTTCAGAAATGTCTAAATATTTATCATGGGATTTGTGGATAGAATTTACATTCCAGTCTGAATATACTTATAGCAGTTATTAGATTTCTTTATGTGAGCATCATCAAACTCATTTTTGTAACCTTAAAAGCTTATTTCCATACACTGTATGGCTGTTTCCTACTCTTTATTAACATTTTCTTTATTCACCCATTTGCTTGTGCCAATTGATCAGATTACTAGCAAAGCCATATACACTCATGTCTTCCAGTCCAACCGGAATGTCTTTGGACCATTTTTTTTCAAAGTCCCAGTGAAAGCAGGTCTATGCAATGTCCATAATGGACAGTCAATTAACACTCATTGGTCTTAAAGGCTGATGAAAAATTGAATTGGATGGAGTGTAGGAACTAATTTATTTATGTTCACTTTGACCCCATAACTTAAGTAGCTGAGGATTGAATGTATTATTTGGCTTACATTAAAACCATCAAGAATTTTTTAGACAGCCATCATTTTGGTTTAACCAGATTCCCCACTGAAAACAAATTCTCCAGTTTCAATCCCTTCAGGAGATCTAAAGAAAATTCCACAAGCCCCAGCTCGCCTTGCATTATTCCTCATGGTTTATCTTTTCTGTAACCTAATGAAAATGGCAAGATTGGGGGAAGTGTGGGTATCTGTATATTCTGAAACAAAATAAGAGTTCTTTTCCTACTGGGACGGGGTTAAAAGCAAGCTCAAACTAGGCAACATTCATATTACTGTCTCCATGTTGTGGAGAAAAGACTTCAAGTCCAGACCAGAGTGCATGTCATGAGGAGCTGTGGGTCCGAAGGCCCGGCTGTGTTTGCAGCATTGTCCAGGAGGCGATTTCAGATCTAAAGAGTTACTGCATCTCGATGGCCAGGGAGAGTATGAGAATTTCGGGTGCTTGAGAACTGGAAGGGACATGGAGGGACCATTTAATCTAAAGTTTTCACTTTACAAATCAGGGGAGTGACGCTTAAAAGATGTTCTGTGGTTCATTCAGGCAACAACTCAACATCACACCAAGACAACCCCCCATCTCCACTCTGCAAACCCTCATGCACTGCTTTGTCCTCGTCTGTCTGGGGCCCAATTATTTAACAACAGTGGCAACAAAAGACACTCTTTACTGACTAGTCAAATTATGTTTTAAATTTTGAAATTAGTTATGATACACAAAAGAAGACTGAATTTTCCACCGTCGTATTCGAAAGCATTGATCAGATAGATGCCTTTCAATGAATAAATAGGCCGATGGGAATTGGGAAGCACCAATTACTGAAAGTTGGGGACACAACAGCTGGTGCTCTGTGTAGAATATAAAACAATGTCCTTTGAAATAGCATGTGTGTATAGTGGTAAAAATGCCTCTTTTCATGCTGGTACTTCATACTTTATTGCATTTATCTCCCTTAAAGGTCATTTCAAGTTCTGTGCTCTATAACTTTCCCTTTATCATCTACTCCTCCCAGCGTGCACAACATGGGCATCTGCAAGGTGACAGAGAAAAGGTCATCTCTCTACTATGCATATAAGTCTGATTACAAAGCTAGGACCTGTCAATCATTAGTTGGTCAGGCATGAGAATCTTCAGCATGAAGGAACAGGAGTAGAAGAAAGCTGCAGAGCTGGAAACTATTACCTGGAAGTGGTTTGCATTCAGACCAGTGTGCTTGCATGTTATCAAAAGATTGTGGCCATTTCTGAACAAATCCTGGTGAGGCAGCAAGGCCAGGTTAAAATCCAGACCGGGCAGTGACTACCTACATTTCAGAAAAAGATGAACTTGCAGAACTCTTTTGGTCTTTGGAACTAGTATGTATATGACACTTAATGCTTGGCACATGGTAGGTATTCAGTGAAAGGTAACTGGTGTCATCTTTATTATTCACCTCCTAAATGAATTGTTGCTTGTCATGTATATAGATATTTCTTGGCAGAGCAATGAACGGAAGCCATGTCTCATTTTGTTTCTCTTGCCTTGTCAAGAGTCAGTGACATAAGAGGATGAGATTCATGGAGGATTCATGTTTGTTCCCAGATCTGCTGCCCAGCCTACTGCCTCTATGTGTAAAATATGGGTCATTAATAGCACATAATTCACTGGGGAGTGCTACTGATTCTTATATGATGGACAATGATAGCATGGAGGACAATGTTATTGGAAACTTTTGTGATATATTTAGGTCTTTGGGTCTTTGTCACGATATCACTACCTTGTGTTCTTAGGGATGATATTGTCATCTTAATCAGAGAAGGCACACATGTGAAATGTCTTGCACTCAGCAAGTGCAGTGGAAGTTCCTTTGGGAAATTCACAGAAAGATGTTGTCAACATAACCCAAAAGTTTCCAGAAAGATGCAGAGGAGATACTCTGACAGGCTTATGAAGAATTAAGTCCCTATATAAGCAAATTTTTATGCCTCAGGGAGCCACAGGCTTTCTGTTCAGTCTATTACTATTGCCCCAAATGATTCATTTATAATTTCATTCTTTTTTATTAGATAACTAGAGGCCTGGTGCACGAAATTCATGCAAGAGTAGGCCTTCCACCCCAAAGCTGCCAACACTGGGACCTGAGCTTCCCTCACAGCCCCGGCTTCATCCGGAAGGTTGTCTGGAAGGATGTCTGGTCTAATTAGCATATTTTATTAATATAGATTCTTTTTTATTAGCTAATTGCCCCCAATTAGGAAGGCTTATAAAAAACAGATAGAAATCATTAGTTAACAGGGTGTGAACTTATTTATTGGCTTTTCTAACATATCAAGAAGCTAAACTGATCAGTGTTTGAAGAGAATAGGGGTTCAGGTACTTAGAAGCTACTGAAAAGATAAGGAGTCTTGAAATATAATGTCAATGTTGCCACAGTTCTGGGAAGAGTAAACCATCACTAAAAAGCAAAAATATAATCACAGAGTCATAGCGTGGGATCAACCTGCGACGCCACCTCAGGAAGCTGCTGGACGCTTGGACAACCATCGGGTTTCCATACACAGTCACATGCCATAGATCATAAAATGTCAAAAAAATGTGTAACTTTTCCACCTGTCCTTAGATTACCTGTTCACCTGTAGATGCCTTTCCCTGTGGGGATGTTCAACATAAGTTGAAATTGGATAAACTGAATTCATACCCTGGAGTGTTTTCCAGAAGCAAAGAGACCCTGCTGGCACCCACCACTGCTCTGCACTTTCCCAAACAGTAATTCCTCAGTTAAAACAGGAAAGAAACTCAGACACTGAAAGTCTGTCCTGCTTTGGTTGTTACTTGGTATTGAGTTTCAGAGTCCCTCCCACTCTGTCCAAAACCAGAGATGCATGTCTACAAGGATTAGAAATATGTGGCCAGGCTCATTGAAAGGCCACCATCAAATCAGATCACGTGACATAACATTTACTAGCTCGTTCTTATGTACTGTTGTCTTCAGTTTCTTTCAGGTATATCTTTGGAATTCCTCCCCTGATCCTCGTTCTGTTGCCAGTCGCGTCATCTGATTGTGAGATCGAAGGTAAAAGTGGCGAAGAGTACCAGCATGTCATCATGGTCAGCCTCAATGACCTGGTATGTGCTTCTACTCACATTTTAACTCGTTGGGAAAGTGTGATAGATACTGTCGCTATGCAGTTTTATATAGTCAAGTATCCATTTATAATTATTGAAAGTGAAATAACTAGGGATGAAATTCAGTGAGCTACTAATTATATATTTTCATAGCTGGCAATCATTACATCCTTTAAAAATAATTCTTTCCTAGACCTTCAGACTCCCACAACTGCCCACGTCAGCCCTACTGCCCTTCACCATCAAATTTCTCATGAGCATAATGTAACATCACTGTCTGCACTTCCTCACCTCCCGTTAACAGCCAGTCTGTGTGGAACCATTATATCAGGAGAGGGAAAATAACAACATAACATTGAAAAGGTATCATGGAAAGATGTACATAGCTATTTTATTTTTATCTGAATATGTGAACATATATACCAGTATAGTATGTATTTTATATAATTTTCTATGAGTAAATTTTTCTATTTACTATGGATAATTTTTTATAATAGATTTTATTTTAGAACAGTTATGAGTTTACAGGAAAGATGAGCAGGAAGTAAAGAATTCCCAGATGCCCATTGTCCCTCTGCACAAGTTTCCCCATTATTTACATCTTGTATTTGTGTGGTACATTTGTTACGATTGATTGAACCAATCTTGATACATTATTATTCATTAAAGCTGATAATTGACCTTAGGTTTTTCTTCTTGTGTTGTACATGCAAAAATGTCATGTGTCCACCACTACAGTGTTATATGGGATGGTTTCACTGCCCCTGACATCCCCTGTTCCCCGCTGCTTCGTCCCTCATGCCCTTCTCTTGAACCTAAGGCAACCCCGGAGCTGCTTGTGGTCTCTGTAATTTTGCCTTTCTGGAATGTCCTGTAGTTGGAGTCATGCCCTGTGTAGCTGTTTTAGACTGGATCCTTTCATTAGCAATATGTAGTTAAGGTTCCCCCATGGTTTATTGTGGCTTGATGCCTCATCCATTTTATTGTCAAATAAAATTCCATTGAATGGATGCACCTCCGTTTGTTTTTCTCTTCACTGCTAGGACTTATCTTGTTTGCTCCCAATTCTTGGCTCTTATGAATAAACCTTCTGTAGACATTCATGTGCAGTGCTTTTTACAGACAGACAAAGTGAGTTTTCAAATCATTTGGTTAAATAGCCAGGAGAGCAATTACTGGATTTTGTAGAAAGACCTTGTGGAGCTTTGGGTAGTATGGACATTTTCATGATGTTGATTCTACTAATCCAGAAACATGGTATATTCTCTACTTGTTCCTCGATCTCCCTTTCAACATCCTGTAGTTTTCTAAGTATAAGTCTTTTACCTCCTTGGTTAAATTTATTCCTAAATACAGTGGGGCCTTGACTTACGAGTTTAATTCGTTCAGAGACCGAGCTCATTAAAGGAGCTCGTTAACTCAAATTACTCTATCAACTCAATGCAAAAAATCGGCGGAGAGACAGCTGGTATCTCAAAAAACTCGTTAGTCGGGACACTCGTAAGTCAAGGCCCCACTGTACCTTAATTTTTTTGTTGCAATGGTAAATGGGATTGTTTTTCAGTTTCTCTATCTGAGAGTTCATTATTGGTATGTCATCAATATCTGTGTGTTAATTTTGTATCCTGCTACATTGCCGAATACATTTATTAAATCTAGGCATTTTTTGCTGGAGTGTTTAGAGTTTTCTACTTTGCAATATCATGTCATCTGCGAATAATGAGAGTTTTACTTCTTCCCTCCCAATTTGGCTGCCTTTTATTTCTTCTTGTCTGATCGCTGTGGCTAGGACTTCCAGTACTATATTGAATAAGATTGGTGAAAGCAGACAACCCTGTCTTGTTCCTCTTCTTAAGGGAAATGGTTTTCATTTTTGCCCATTGAGTATGACGTTGGCTGTAGGTTTGTCAGATAGGGCCTTTATCATGTTGAGGTATGATCTCTCTATTCCCACGTTGCTGAAAGTTGTATCAAAAAAGGGTGTTGGATTTTGTCGAATACTTTTTCTGCATTAATTGATATGATCATGTGATTTTTGTCTTCCAATTTGTGTATGTAATGTATCACATTTATTGATTTGTGAATATTGTACCAGCCTTGCATCCCTGGAATAAATCCCACTTGGTCATGGTGTATGATCTTTTTAATGTATTGTTGGATCGGATTTGCTAATATGTTGTTGATGATTTTAGCATCTATGTTCATCAGGGATATTGACTTATAATTCTCTTTCTTTGTAGTGTCTTTATCTAGTTTTGGAAAATGGGATAATGCTGGTCTCGTAAAAGGAACTTGGAAGTGGCCCAGCCATTATGGCTCAGTGGTTGAGCATTGACCTATGAACCAGGAAGTCACAGGTTGATTCCAGTCAGGGAACATGCCCAGATTGTGGGCTTGATCCCCAGTGTTGTGTGTGCAAGAGGCAGCCGATCAATTATTCTCTCTCATCATTGATGTTTCTACCTCTCTATCTCTCTCCCTTCCTCTCTGAAATCAATAAAAATATTTTTAAAAAAGATGGCAGTATGAAGCCATCTAACCAGGGAGGTTTTTTACTACTTCAATTTCATCAGTTGTGATTGGCCTATTCAAGTTTTCTAATTCTTCCTGATTCAGTTTTGAAATATTGTATTTTTCTAGGAATTTGTCCATTTCATCCACATTGTCCAGTTTGTGGGAATCTAGTTGTTAATGGTATTTTCTTAAAGACCTTTGTATTTCTATGGATCATTTGTACTTCACCCATTTCATTTTTTTATTTTGTTTATTTGGATCCTCTCGCTTTGTTTCTTGATGAGTCTGGCTAAAGGTTCATCAATCTTGCTTATCTTTTCCAAGAACCAGCTCTTGGTTTCATTGATCTTTTATATATTTTTTTAGTCTCTATATTGCAAACCCATCAGGACCTAGTGCTTTCTGCTTTGGAAGGCTTTTAATTATTGATTCTACTTATTTAATAGACATCTACTTCTTCTTACATGAATTTTGGTGACACATGATTCTTGAATCTTAAAATACATGTAGGTGTTACCAAAAGCAGCAAAACAGGTTGGGGAGAGGGTCCCTCATCAGGGAGAGGATGGGTCACCTTGAAAAGGAATGTAAATAAGAAACCGATAGGCCTGGTGTGGTTGGACTGTGGGATGCAAGATGAGAACCAAATCCTCGCAGGAAGCCCAGACCACTCAGTGCTGTGTCCACCATACAAAGGAGTCTAAGCACCAGGAAACCACTGAGGACTTTAGGGGGAAGGCATTCGATGTCAATGCCATTCTCCTATTGGCTTTTGTTGATATTCCTATTACTTGGTAAAGGCTCATTATGTATTAAGTATAGAATAGAAATATTTGTCCTTTATATTCACTGCTGTACCAGGAAGGACTAGAACTCTCAATAAATAATTGATGAATGAATGAATGAAACTGTAATAACACATCATATTTTGTTTACAACTTTTTGTCTGGCAACCATGTAGATAATTTGTGGGGTAGGATGGGAAGCAAGGGGACAGGAGGAAATGCTTCATTAATTTAGGTGAACATTGTTGACGGGTGTAAACCAAGGTAGTAATTCACAATTTTAGGTGCTTCCCAATAAACTGAAAGGTCTGTCAAGATACAAGTTGCTGGGACTCACCTCCAGAGATTCCTGTTTTTAAAGAATTTCAGTGATGTGGGAGGCCCACTAGATAATTTCACATATGACCCTCCTTATTTGAAAATAATTTATGAATCAAAGGAAAAAATTAAAATAGTCCCCTGATTTTAGTCTAACACCTAAATTCTGCTGCATCACATCTACAAAGCCAGACCTGTGGGTATTAGCTGAATGGGTTTCCTTATTTGTTTTTCAGTGGTTAGCTCAAACACAGTAACAAAATAGAATAAACTGGACCATAAATTCAATTAGCTTTTTCAATAAATCCTCACCCGAGGATATGTTTTACTGGGGGGTGAGGGGAGAGGAGAGAGAGAGAAAGAGAAGGGAGAGAGAGAAGAGAGAAGAGAGAGAATAAGAAAGAAGAGAGAAGAAAAAAGAAAACATGGATCATTTGTCTCCCAACCAGAGATCGAATCTGCAACCTTTTGGTGCAGGGGACAATGCTCAACTTAGTGAACCACCCAGCCAGGGCAATTAGCTATTATTTTTAAGTTACACATTTTATTTTAGAATCCATGATTGAACATTCATTTTAAGGATAAATAAAGCAATCTTCTGTCTCATGGAAAAATATATTTTCACTGGCTCCCTCAGTTAAATTGCTTTACTGTGAACCAGCATCGCAGTGCAGTGTGAGGGGCCCTGAGAGAGGGATCAGAAGACCTAATTTGCTACTAGCTTTGCTCTTAGCAAGCATTGTGATTTTGGATACCTCATCTAACCTCTTTGGACTCTTCAGTTCCTTATAAAATATGGAAATTGAATTATCCCGGAGATCTCTCATAGTGCTCAAATTTTTTGAGACATGCAAAAAAGTCACCTTTTCTTTTCTTCTTTTCTCCTTCTTTCCCTTCCTCTTTTTCTTTTGTCCTGATTATTTTCCTCCTTTCATAAATATTCATCAATCCCCTACTATGTGCAATGCTCTATGTCAAGTTCTTCCAAATAATAATGACAATAATATTATTAAGTGGTCTCCAATGAACATATAATCAAGGACTGGAGTGAAATTTATTCAGAAATAATTATCTTATAAAGCAACAAATAAGCCATACTTGGAGAGAAAAGACTATTCTTTACCCCATTGAATAGTATTGGTATCCTTTGACCATACATGTACGGGTTTATTTCTGGACTCTTCAATTCTATTCTAATATGTTTTTACTGCTATTGACTTGGAGTAAATTTTGAACTCAGGAAGTGAGAGTTCTTCTAGTTTGTTCCTTTTCAAACTTGTTTTGGCAATTTTAGGTCCCGTGCAATTCCATATGGATTTTAGAATCAGCTTGTCAATTTCTAAGAAGAAGTGAGTTGGGATTCTAATAGATTTTGTTGTACGT